GTATTTTCCCTTCCCCTCCTTGCTTAGAAATGCTTCCTCTGTCACAGAAAGCAGCGGAGGGAGTGTGCCAGGGAAAGGTCATCGTACAAATCCAAAGGAAGCTAATCCTGTCCACCATGGCTAGTTAAGAACATGATGCAGTTCTTAAGATGACTACTTTGCCAGAATCCATGTGAAAGTCAGCAAACAGGAATTTGTCCAGGTTTCAGTGTCTGTCTCTTTGTGGGATCCCCAGTCAAGCTACTTCCCCTGTTAGGCTTTCTGACTGTAAGATGAGGAAGTTGGATCCTGGTGGACCTTTTATACCTTAGAATACAGCGATATGAAAGACGTGACTAGGGAACTTCTTCAGCATGGGGTCCCAAAGTCCCTTTCAGAAAAATGGATCACCACCATTCTCCTTCCTCTTTGTCCTCTCAGAGTGCTGTGTAGTCACGGTCTAATCAGGACAACGGAGAGACCACCAGGTGAAATTCTTAAGGAGAAGAAAATGAATTGCAAAAGTTGTTAGAGCTGTTGGAAGGCAAAGGGGCTGGAGAGGCAGCATGGGTGGACAACAGCAGGCATCTTCTGTGAATCCTAGGAGAGGAAGAAGGCCATGTTACCAAAGTCCAGGCCAGCCGACAGAGCAGGAATCACGGTAGGGGAGATGGAAGGGGCCAAAGTGATGGGAGGAAGGACACTGTGGACAGACCCAGAGTTTTGGAGGGGATGTAGTCACTGTGAGAAATGCTGCCCTGTTCAGAAAGAGGGCATCGGAATGTGGCATCTTTTGCCCCTTGACCAGTCTCAGGGCAGGAGACGGTTGCAGAGAAGCTGAGGAATGGGTCTGTGGGCAAACAGGCAAATATTAGGGTAGATCCTTACCTATTTTCACTTTCTGTAGTTAATGGTGGTCCAGAACCACTAAATGGAAAATGCTAGAAATAGCCATGTGTTTTAAATAATTTTTACTATAATATATTGTTATATTTGTTGTTTAGTTGTTATTGTTTTAAATCTCTATACATTTAACTTTACTTTACGTACATTTGTGTAGGAAAAAACAGCGATATGTAGGGTTTAATGTTCTTTGCAGTTTGAAGGTATTGATGGGAAGTCTTAGACCATTCCCTCCTTGGTGGAAACTAAATGGCAGGAATAATCACAACCACTGATGTTTAAACTTCCGTCCAGGACAGACATAGTTCACAGATGCCTTCAGAGGTTCCTAGCTTCTCGTACAATGAAGATACTGTTCTGGGTCTTAGCAGGTAGCTCTTCTTAGGAGTTAAAAGCTTCTTGTACCATTCTTGTATTTCTTAGGATGATACCACTCACATCTCTACCTTCCTGTCTCTGGCAGCCTGGAGCAGTTTCATTTTTCCTTATGTGTGCTATGCTGATGTTTCATGCAAGTTCTGTTCCTCACAGATTTTTGGTCTTTTGAAGACCAGGATACTACCTTATTCATTTTAGCCTCAATCTGTGTCACTAAGGGGCTTCCAGGAATGTAGGGCCAGAATATACACATCAACACTGTTAGACAGTTGATCAGTATCCTTTGTCAGAGAACCTCTTCCTGGAGTGTATGATCTTGGCCAACTGACTGACTGGACATGTTCATAACACAACATACATGCAGACTGTCCCATCGGGCAGCTTGTACCACCCAGTAGGACTGTCCCATGTTCCCTGATGGGAGAGTCATGCCTGTACCACTGGCTAGGTTGTGCAATAGTAAAAGCCCCAGGATCTCAGTAGCTAAAATTCCACAAAGGTTTATTTTCTACTACACATTTGTTGTGAGTCTCCTGGGGTGTATCTGTTCTCCCTCCAGCTCCTGCTGACAGATCATCTTCCATCTTGAGTACTGCCATTTCCTTTGTCAAAAGAGAGAGAGAACTTGGATACAATGGGAGGGATGATAATTTAATGTTCACCTGGATGTGTCATGTCACGTGTCCTCACAACTTTCTGATTGAAACTAGTTAAATGGCCTTGTCTAATTTCAACTAAGGAAGAGGAAAATTGGGAAAATTTGTTGATTTGCACTAATGACAGCTACACAGAGAATAAGATTTGACTTTTCACAATTGTTTAACCATTAGGGAAATATTTGCACTAATTACACTAATTTGACTTTGATTGTTTAACCATTAGTTACATAAGTGCTTAGTGATCACCTAGTACAACATAAATGGTTAATTCATACAGATAAGTTATTGTTAATATTTAGCAGTTTATATTTGTTATATTTCCAGCATACTTTATACCATCCATTTGCTTACCAGATTTTGTTTCATCTTTTTCTCCCCCTCCTGAAAATGCAAAAGTAAATTTAAGTTGTTCCTCTCTGGACTTAGCATAAATTCTTAAAGAAGTAGATTTGATTTAATGGCTTTAGACGTAATCAGTGACCCCACTCTTCCAAGTTGTGGACTGAGCACCAATACATGATGATAGTATAAGAAAATTAGTTTGTGGAGTGATAGTTTGGATTTCAGCACTGGCTTTGGAACTGTACTCACTGTCTTGGTTTTCCATTTAAGAGCAATGGACTTTCATTTGAGTCAGTGTAGAAATGGTCAATATGTGTGATATTTCGATGAAGCTGGTCATTGGATCAATTGCAATTAGTTTGCAGCAGATTGCATTAACATATCTAAAATTAATACTGCAAGTGCTCTAATGAAAAGGAATTGACCACGATCACACTGTGGCTGTTTTTAGTCTCTCTTAAATTTTCTTTTCAAACTATATTTTTTTCCTTTGGTTGGTGGATTTAAATTGGTTCGTCAGCAGGCTTACTTTATCTATCCTTCCCACTTGCTTTTTAAAAGTGGTCCCAGATAATGGCACATATGAAACATTTAATGTTTCCTTTCATTGCAATTTTTAATAAATATCTTAAACTTGCATTTTTCTTGCACTGTTATATGGCAGGATGTGAAGAATATTGAGCCTGTGTGTTCATTTGTGAAATTTGTGCTTTTATAATGTTTCATTAAGAACTTAAACATTTAAAAGTAAGATTATCATAATATACAATTGAGAAGTAATATGTGATAATGGATGTGAGCATTGCTTTTCTGGCAGCTTAATTTTTATCCCAGAATTATTTATTTCTAAAGAATTACAGGTAACTTCATTATTAGAAAAATTATTACCAATATTTACAAGGACCAGAAGAGATATATTTTGCCTCAATTATGTCAAGATTTGAATTTTTCACAAATATGTGTAAATCCTCTCTAGTTTATGGCTTAAGGACTAATTTACATTTTTCTATTTTTAGAGGTTATTTTCTGGGAATGAGCAATAGTCTGCATTAGGGAACGAAAGTCAGGGTTTATTCACTTTGTCAACTAGTATTTTATTTAGTATTTTATATATTCCAAGTACCATTGTACTCTAATTCTTAAAGATACAAAAAGCGTGTGACATACTCTGATATACTCTGCCCCGAGTAGAGGGTGGTTGTATGATTCTAGTTGTGGGGTTCTGAAGCCTCTTCGAATCCCCCTTGTCAAAAAGAGCTCATTAATACATTATAGCTTGGAGATTCCAGAAGAAAACAACATTTTGAAGATACCTGGGAGGTTCTGGAAGCTAAAGCTTTAAGGTATTAAACTTTGAGACCTCAGTGCCAGGGTAGTCTGTCTGATCCTGCCTTGGACATCTGTCCAGGCTATGATAGAAGCTTCCAGAGCCTGTATCACAAGATTTCCACATTCTGCCTGTGATGAGATCCAGTCCTCTGATATTTTTAGATCGCATTAATGACGTCATCTTCCATCTTCTTCCAAGTTTCTGGAAACAACCGTAGCTAAGTGTGTTCATCATTCCTGTAATTTTTTTTTCATTTACAAATGATGTTTATAGATTTGGTAAGGAATGCTATACTCTTGGAACAGGAATTTGTTTGTTATTCTACATTTTGGCTGTGTACTTTAAACTAATTGACAGTGCAGATTGGCAAACCATTTCAACTTGAAATTTAAACAAGGTTACTGGAATACACTTCTTGCAGTGTAGGAGCTAGTCTAATTAGTGGAGACTCATGTTGTACTCGGCATTGGTACATGAAAGAGATAACCTTATTGAACTCAAAATGACTGTACCTAGGCTCCATCAAAAACTAAGGAAATGAATTAGTCTGTTGCCCAGTGACCTTGAGAGTTAAAAACATTTTCCTGAGGCAGGTGTGGTGGCGCCTGATTGTAATCTCAGGAGCTTAGGAAGCCAAGGCAGGAGGACTGCAGGTTTGGGGATAGGTTGAGCATTTAGCAAGATCCTGCTTCAAAATAAAGTTTAAAGGGCTGGGATGTAGCTCCAGGTTAGAGAGCTTGCAGAAGTCTCTGGGCTTGACCCCCAGCACCAAAAAAAGAAAGAAAAGAAAAATTCCTGAGGTACTTCCTAATGACTACTGATGTGCATGCAATTATTAAAGTAGTAATATGTGCTTTGACTATTTGGGGAGAGAGTATAAGGGAGGCATAGGCTGCAGATAGAGGAGTGACCACGAGCCTTTTATGAGTTTTCAGTGGTAACGGACAGCTCACTGTGGCACACATGAGGCTCATCACCACTGTGATAGGGCTTTTAATAGCTTCTAAAAATAACTTTTAATTTATAAATACTTACTACAGAAAGTTGCAGAAGAATCTTTTATCAGTTCCATGTATCCTTTGCCCAGCTTCTCCTTATATTGCCATCTTATATAATTGTACAATATCAAAAGAAGGAAACTTGCGTGAGTATGTTCCTGGTACCTATTATAGGTCTCATTCTATCTTCACCATTTTTTAAAAATCTGCATTTATTTGTGTATATGGTCGTTTTGAACACTTTTGATTAAAAATAATTGTGAAAAATTTGTACAGATACATTTTTTTCTTTTGCTTCTCTAAACTGTGTGCTCATTTCTCTTTGATGGTGCCTGTAAGACTGTCCATACAGATTGACGTGCTTTTCTTGGTATTAATTCTTGTTATGCCTCTCTCCCTCCATTTCTCTAGGCAGTTCAGTGCACCTCCAGAAGATGGCTCAACCTGCAGGAATACCAGAGCAAGAAACTGATGTCTGACAATGGAGTGAGAGTTCAAAGATTCTTTGTAGCGAGCACTGCAAATGAAGCTCTGGAGGCTGCTAAGAGACTAAGTAAGCTAATCCATAACAGGAGAAATACGCTCGCTCAGAGGACTGAATTCAGGGGCAGTGATTTCCCACGAGTGAAGCCTCTCTGTTGGGAACTATACCAATAAGGGCACATGCAGGGGAGAACTTCGGATGGCAAATGCAAGAAAGCCCATTTAGGAAAAGTTGATTCTTTTACATGAGGTAGCAGCACATGGATGTCACTCCATGGTAATGTAGCTGAGTTTTCTGCCTCCATTCACCCACTTGTCTTGGCTCTGTCTAGTGGCTGGGAGAAATAGGAGTGAAAGGTATAGCGAATCCCATTGTGACAGGCCAGGCGTGATGGTTGGCATCCTTTCTTAGGCCTCTCAGAAGCTGAGAGAGTTCCTGTGACTGGAGGAGAACAAGGAAAAGGACACGTAGTTTAAAGTTACGGTGACTCTGGCCCACTGTTGTATTTTTTTCCCCATTACCAGCTCTGTAACTTTGTATAAGGTTCTTCTCCTGTTCTTGTCTATGGACCAAAGCTAATAGATTTCCCAGTGCTGCTGTGATTCTTTCAAGGAAACTGTATGTTGTGATAATAGAAATTACAATTAATATCCCTAGATATGGACTGAGATATTAATAATTAAGGATTGCTCTCTGTTTCTCTTATCGGCAGTCTGGACTATCAGTGTCCAGTAGGAATAACCTAATAATCATATTACCATGAACAAAAAGTGATAGGTGCAGCAAACTTTGCTGGTACATTTTATCCATTATCAGTAGGACATATTTTTGTTGTTATCTCACAAATCTGGTTAGTGTTTTGCACCTGTAACACATCTTACTTCTTACTAGTCACGCTGCAGGTGCCCTGGAGTCACTGTGGCAGGCAGGTGCGGTGTTGTATGGTGTAGGTCTGGGCAGTAGAAGGATTTGCATGTGCATCCTTCTTCTGTAGCTTTGGAGAGTAGTTGTTTCCTACCAGAAATAAAGAGGAAAGGATGTGTAGTCATTTGTAGTTTTTAGATGCCCAATGTAGGGGTGGAGAACAACTTACATTTTTAAAAAAATGAAAATTAGTTTCATTTCCAAAAACTATCAAAATGAGTTTTTATGGCAGAAAGTCCCAATGACATTACTAAGCCTGGGGAGGTGCTCCTCAGTGAACTGTGGCAGTAGACCCAGTCCAGGGTAGTTATTCCCACCTTTCCACAAGGGATCATTTTTGTTCTGTACCCCTGTGGTTTGGGGGTTGGGGAATGAGAGCAAAGAAATGTAAAGTTCAGGTTGGTCTTGGATCTCACTTTCCACTTCATGTTCTTAAATGCAGTGAAGCACTAGTATTCCAGGCCTAAGGGACCCTTTTAAGGGAATTCTAGAAGCCAGCTGAGTGCTCCTGCAGCCCTACTGGCTTAAGAACAGCTGATACATCCTTTAGAGGTTTCCATGGAGATGTAGACTTACTGAACTAATTAGCTTCCTAATCATTGGCTTATTTAAAAAAATTATTACAGCATCACTTCATAGTTGGGGGCAATGTTCTATGCTTTTAAAATAGTTTTTGCTCTGTGGCATGTGTATGTTGGGGCTGCAGCAAGGGAGGGGGACCGAAAAGTAAGTTTACGTAAAGGAAATTAAAATTAATGCAAACAAACTTTTGCAATAGCTAATTTTTGTTCTTGGGGAGTGGTTTCAAGAAGATAAAAGTAGATAAAAGGAATTGAAAAAGATATAGAGATTGAGAGTTTAAAGTGGATACAAGATTTGAGGATGAGCCAGGTGTGTGTGTGCGCGCGAGTGTGCACTTTCACCTATGTACACCTGTGCCATTCCTTTAAGAGTGCATTCAGTGGGGGCTTTCCTGTGATCCTGCTTAGAGTTAAACAGAAATTTGGAGAGTAAACCAGATGCCTCACTGTGACTGAATGCGTGCTCTTTCCGGTGCTCAGCAGTAGATTGTTGTTAGGAAGTATCTTGTTTTTTTTTTTTTGTTTTTTTGTTTTTCTCCGGTACCGGGAACCGAACTCACGACCTTGCGCTTGCCAAGCAGGCCCTTTTGCCGCTGAGCTAAATCCCCAGCCCCTATTAGGAAGTATCTTGTGTTTTCTGTTGTTGAATAGTTTTGATCTGAGAGCAGATTTGTAGCATTGGAAGTGGAGATGCTACCAATTGTAGAAGGTTGAAAGTGAAGTGAGTTGATGGCAAATATTAAAGGAAGTGTGTGTGTCACTGTTCCTGTGATTGCTTGGAGAGAGCAAAGCAAGAAGGAGCTGGCCGAACTGTACAGTGTGTGTCTTCTTCTCACTGCACGATTGACGGGAACCAAGAGCGCAGATGAAAGTCGACCCAATAGATTTGAGATTGATTGAAGCTGAATGACATACACACAGCTTCCTAATTGTCCTGAAAATGTGATCTCTACCTTATAATTATGACATTATAACTAGGAGAAATTATGTAGGAGATAAATGTGCCTAACATACAGTAAGTATCATCTAGGATTGTGTTGGTATCATCGTCACCAGGAATGTCCATTTCCAGGTGATTGATTACAGTCATGATTCAAATTCACAGACACACAGAGACATAGGGTGATCAGTATCCTGTTATTCATGTGTTAAGAGAGTTCATATTTTGAAGGTTTTGTAAATGATTGAAATCTGATTTACCATTTTACTTTTTTCATATCTTGTTGACCTTTGTAATAAAATGACATCTTATAAAATATTTTGAAAATTAAGGTTGTTTGTTGTCCCTATGACTTCCAGTGTACTCTGTGTGTGGATTATCTCACAGGCCTCTTTTTTTGTGTCTGAATCCATGTTCCTGGTTGCCTATTTATATCTTTGGTTTCCTTACCCAAGAGGAATTTATCCTCTCTGGGTTACTCCCAATCTTCTCTTTGGTTTCTCCCCATCTACTTACTAGTGGAGAGAGCTCCTATTCATCTCTTAAGCCTCTTTGCCTATTATATTCAGTCACTTGCCAAATCCTGTTGTTATTGAGGTGGCATTATTATTTCATAGGCAAGGACACAGGCAAGATAAGGTTAAAATTCTTGCCAAAATTGTAGAGCTAATAATCAGCAAAGATGGGATTTGATCCTAGCCAGAGTAGATTTAATTTCTTCCCCATCATTGTCCTCGTTGCTAACTTGATGATGATATTCTTTGGAGACTGTTTTGTGTAGGTCAGCATTTTTAAGATTGAAAATGCATATTAATAAAATTACAAGATTCGATTAAAACTAGATGTGGCAGATTCTGTGGTGCAATTTATAGAAACTGTAATCTGGAGATATTTTCTTAATGATTCATTGTGTTATATCTATTCAGGCAATAGAACCTTTTGCTTATGGAAAACTTGTTAATTTGAACATTTTTTTTTAAAAATGGGTAGTACAAAGCTTTTGTTTCTGAAACAGTTCATAATGATAAGATATTGAGAGTGCTCCTAATTTTCTTGCTCTGAAAATGAACTTATGTCTGATTGAGAGAGTAAATTCCGTTTGGTGAGTGAAGATTTTTAATATATGGATTATATTCATTTCTGCAGCAGCTAGTATCGTTATCATGTTTTAAGGAAGAAATTGTTTGCCTTGCATGCAATTATTTTAGGAGGCCTATTAATTATGTGCTCCTTTCTTACAGATTAAAATTAATGAATACAATTAACAGATAATTACAGAACACCTACTGTGTGAATCACTAATCTTTATGTTGCTTTTTCAGTTCTCTTTAAAGATAAATGAAGGATTATGTCTCTCTATAACTCATAAGGCCTGTCTTGAAATAATACTTACATATAAACACAGATGAAACTTATCTCAGACCACTACCTTTCAATTTTAGAATCTTGACAATTTACTAATTACTTCCTTCACGTTGACAGGAGGCTCTCAAGACTTGATTAAGCAAGCAAAAGTACATTTAAAAAATGCTGCAATTTTATTTTTTGCCAGTCAGGAAAGAAAACTGAAATGTGAATGGAGAAATAAATCTTCTGTAAGCTAATGACATGTACCCTAAATGGAGATAAGGAGCTTTTATTGAACTTTGCTAGTTTGACTTGCTTTCAGCTATAATATGTTTCCATGTATCAATATGATAACTTACTCTTTTTATTTTCTATAATCAGGTCCTAAAACCTAGTGAATTACCTACACCATTAAGGAATTGTACTTTATGTAAAAGGGGAACTGCTGCCCGTTGAGTGCTGACTGACACAAACTGTTAATCCTGGAGGCAGTCAAATACATTTTCAGCCTCTGTGAGGCCGTGCGGTGGTATGGTCATATGACATTACACAGGTAAGGTCTTGCAAAAAGATCTTACGTTGTCTCTGTTGAGATGATAGCCATTTTTGTCACACAGTGACAGGCAAGGATAACTTTCAATTGTGATGTAGAATTTTCATTTTTCCTGCTGCACACTATTTTGAGTCTGGAATCAGTAATACAAAGATGCTGCTAGGGAAATGGCATATGTGTCCCATCAGAGCTAAAGCAGGATCTGCTTTCTAGGCATGACAGTGGTGTCCTCACTGGACATACGGCTCCTGTGGTAGGATTGATTATATTTCTGGCTGCTGTTGGGTCCTTTGATTCAGTTGTACTTTCTAAGCCTGATTGTTTGGCCTTGTTGGTGATTATGTGAGATTCCAAATATCTTTCCTGTGATTTAGTTCATGCTTATTTTAGCGATAGTTAATTTCTGTTGCTTGCTGCTAAGAACCTTGACTCATCCAAACAGAGAGTACAGTACTTATCATAGATCCCAAGATGCAGCACCTGCACTGTGTGTATTACTGTTATTCCAAAAATTGTCACTTGCTAATGTTTACTTGCAAATGCTTCTTGAAAAGCAGTACTGGAAGTGAAATTAATGGTTTACTCTAATTGCATTAGAAAGAGAATTCCGTTTGACAAGTTGTATCTTTTAATACCATTTCCTGCTGCCTGTATTTTTGCAGAGATCCCCCTTTTATAAAATGTTCTTTTTTCCTTTTCCTGAGTTTGCAAATACCACTGGGCT